GCCCGGCCCCCGCCCCGGGGACGGCGGTGGCTGGGGTGGGGCGGGGCTTGGCGGAGTCCCTGCAGCCACAGCTCACTGCCTGGGCGGCGCTCTGCCTGTTACCTGGAACCTGGCTGAGGGCATGACGCCGGCAGCTAGCTGGCCAAGGGTGCCTTTGTGAATCGCAGCGGGGAGCGGGGAGCCGCGGGGTCTCGGCGTTGGTGCTTGCCCGGTGTGTTCCCACGGCGCTTTGCACTCTAGACGCCGCAAGGTCATGTCCAATCACGGCAAAGGTGAAGCAGCACCAGCGTCTACGAGGCTGGCGGCGGCTGATTGAGCCTTGCCACGCAGACGTGGCTCCTGGCAGGAGTCCGGAGAGCTTTCTCTGTGTTCCGGCCTCTCTCCCGGGTTGCGGGTTTGAGAAAGGAAGTGAAAAGGCTCAGAAGCTGTTGAGATGGGCCGGCTCTGTGGTGCAACAGCGATGCGCTGCTGAGGGACCTGGCACCTTGGCGACTGCGGTTCGAATCCCGCCTGGCACACCTGAAGCTCACCGGATAGGTGCAGGCGTGCCCGGGAGCCCGTGGGCTAGGGCGGGAGGCAGGGGAGGGCATGTGAGCAGACCCCACAGAGGGCACGTTGCTCTGTCGTGACAAAGAATGACATTAGAGCAAGAAGCTGTGACGGCATTTTCTGTTTCACCAAGAGCCTTCCGGGGTGGCTTCGGTGCTTCCTGGGCCTCCTCGAACCTGTCGGCTCGGCCAGTTGAATGGGCCCGGCCTCGTTCTGGAATTCTGAAGGCCTGCGGAGAGTTGTCGCGTGCAGAGCTGGCGGAGTGACAGCCACTGCGGCGTTCCGGTTTGCTTCATTTCACTGGAAGACGTGGGGGAACCTCCCTGTGGCCATGTCTGCTTTCTGCGTGCTCCGTGACAGTGATGTGTGGCCCTCCACTCTCTTCCACTCAAGTGCACAGAGAAGGCTTTTGAGACGCCTAGCTGCAGGGCTCTTCAGGGACACCAGCCGGTGCCTATCAGAGATCATCCGACGCTGCTGGAGACAGGCATCCACACGTGGGCCGAAGGGGGAGGAAAACCTTCCGTCTGAAATTGCGCTGCCCACTGGGAGCCACTTGCCAGACGTGGCGACTTACCTGAAGTGACTGATGCCATTAGGCTGTTCACCACGAGCTGAGCTACAGCTCACACACTCCGTTAGCCAGGGGGTGGGCTCGGGCTCGGCTGCGAAGCGGCGAGGCCTGCAGAGGTGGTTACCACGGCCGAGCGCTCCAGGGGCGGGACAGAGGCCTGCACTGCGCTGCACAGAGCCGGCTCTGGGGGTGCACGGGAGCAGGGAACAGCTGCCACGGAGCTGGGGGCTGCATGGAGGTGGCCGCTCAGCAGGTCCCGACACTGCACTCCGAGGCTGGTGGTCTGATCGTGGCCCTGATGTGGCCGTGGCCTGAGAGTGGCTGCAGGAAGCTGAAGTTGGCTGTGACGTGCAGGCAATGCACACTCCAGAGCAGAAACGTCCTGTGCTGAGAACCAGGGCGCCCTGCGTGTCCCCGCTGTCCCCTCGGCCACATCCCCTCCCGCACTCCTCAGACTGCAGTGGACACTGCGGCCACTCTGGGTGCCGTGGTTGAGGCATGGAGCCCTGGCCACACATCCTGCAGTGGGGAGGAGGACTCTGCTTTCTGAGCTTAGAACCACAGCTGCTGGCTGCTGAGCTCTGTCCCCCAACACGTGGTCATCCCCCGCTGAGCTCTGTCTCCCCGCACGCAGTCATCCCCCGCTGAGCTCTGCCCCTCCCCCCCACACGGTCATCCCCCGCTGAGCTCTGTCCCCCACTGCAGGTACGGCTTTATAGAAGGGCATGTGGTCATTCCCCGGATCCACCCCAACGCCATCTGTGCAGCCAACAACACCGGCGTGTATATTCTCACGTCCAACACCTCCCAGTACGACACCTACTGCTTCAACGCCTCAGGTAGGTTCCCAGCCGGCCCTGGTGACCTTTGCCTGGCTGGAGGCAGCTGTCTCGGTCCCGTGGGCTCAGGGGACCCCCGTTTTTGTAGCAAAGGCTCACAGTGCTCCACTGCAGACGGCTGGCATCCGTATGCACTCAGCTCGTGTGGAGCTGGGAGACAGGCCGTCGAGGAGTGAGCGTGAGCCCTTCCCTGAGAGCCAGAGGGGCGTGAGCGCTGGGACCCAGGGGCTGCTCTGGGAGGGCGGGCAGGGCAATGCCTCGGATGGGTGCATTAAGGAGTTTATTCGTTCCTGAGACGGGAGAGACAGAGACAGAGAGGCAGCTCTCCCGACAGGGTCTGGCTCCAGGGTCCACCAGCCTTAGCCAGCCCTGGGCGTGAGCGCCGTGACCCGGTGTGGCCCCAGGCGTGAGCGCAGTGACCCGGGGTACGCAGTCTCTGGGTGCATTGGCCCTGCTACAGGGCTTGACCTCGCCGAGCAGCGCCACCCCTGCCCTGCCCCCAGCCCCAGAAGTGGCACTGGGACAGCCTGTCAAGGTGAGTTAGTAGAGCTGCAGGCAGCGTGGGCAGCCAGGGCAGAGCTGGGTGTGCGGGTGTCTCGGTCGAGTGCAGGAACACCTGGGAGGCCGGGATGGGAGGCTGAAGCTCAGAGCTTGGCGGTGAGATGAGGTCGGACTGTCAGGACGACAGGGTGCAGCCTGCAGACACTCAGGAGTGTAGGCCCCAGCTGACCGGGTGTCTGTACATGCGGACTAGGAGGAGGCAGGGAGGCTACCTTCTGACCTCCAAGGACCCTCAGCAGCAGAGCCACCTGGAGGGTGTGACAGCGAGGTTCAGAGCAGCCCCGAGCTGTGGCCAGGCACTCTCCCAGCTGGGAGGCTGTCCCCCGTGTGCTTAGGCTTGCCCTGCCAGTCTGACCCAATGGAAAAGCCCTAAGCCCCAGAAAAATTGAGGGTGCCTCTGTGTCATGGACTGTCAGAGTTTTAGAGAAGGATCAAAACCACAGTGGGGCTAGCTGGGTGAAGTGAGTGTGGGGGTCAGTAAATTACAGGGATGGCCCCTAAACCCGTGGAGAGGTCCGTAAGCCCGTGGAGAGGTCCGTAAGCCCGTGCAGAGGTCCGTAAGCCCATGCAGAGGTCCGTAAGCCCGTGCAGAGGTCCGTAAGCCCGTGCATGGCCGGTGGTTACAACTGCAACATGGCCACTGCTCCCCATCAGTGCAGGAGGCACAGCAAGTTTGACCCCAGGAGAGTCCTGCCGCCTAAGCAGTGTATTGGCTGTAGTCAGTCCACTTGCCAGGACCCAGAAAATCCAGCCTGGTGACACCGTAACAAAGAACCATACACAGATCATCAGGAAGTAGGGCCAGCCCACAGCCTGGTGGTTAAGGGGCTGGATCCCACATGGCTGGACGTGTGTACATGTGTGTATGCGCACGTGTGTGTGAGCGTGTGTGCACATGTGTGCCCAAAGCCCTGAGAGGAGAGAGACGAAGGAGAGGGATGGGGCTCTGCCCGGGGTGCTCTCCCGCCTCCGTCTCGCTGACTCCCTCTTGCAAGCACATGCCACTGGCAGATCTTAGCTGTGACCAGTAGAAAACAAGCAGGCGGCACACACAGAGGGCGTGTGGCCTAGTCGGCTCCAAGGGCAAGCGTCCGTGCTTCCGATGAGGGCCTGGTCAGGGATGAGGACGGCATGCGTCTGCCTCCTGCTGGCGTCTCCGCGCTGCTGCGGAGTCCGGCCGAGTGAGCAGGTGCAGCAAACAAGGCCGTGTGTCCCCACACCGTCACCCTGTTCTCTGAGTCAGGGTCACCTTCCAGGAAGAACCACACCTCAGAGTGGCGCCCGCCGCTCCGGCCTGGCTGGAAGCCGCCAGCAGAGCTGCTGCCCCCACCCCTAACGTGGCCAAGAGGCGGCCCGGGCTCCAGAGGAGGGGTCAGCTGCCCCAAGCGGCTTCTCTCTCCTTGGCTCCCGAGTACTGAGGCCGGTCTTTGTGAACTCACGAGGTGAGCTCAGGGGAGCTAGGCAGAGGCGACAAGGCAGCAGAGGCGGCTCCTTGTCCTGCCTGTGACCATCTGGCCAAAGGAATGAGACAAAGACCAATCGGAGCGCAGGACCCCGAGTCTGAAGAAGAAGAGATTCTGAACACATGGCTGAGTCCGTCACTGGGGCACGGACTGAGCAGAAGCTGGCTTTGGTTTGTGTGCCTGTTTTTGAGAGAGAGAGAGAGAGGACGCTTTTGACAGGGTCTCACCGCGTCACGCTCCTCCTGTCCCGGCCCTCAGTTACTGGGACCATAGGCGTGCACCACTGGGCCAGCCTGTTCGGGCTCAGCCAGGAGCCAAACCCAGGCTCCCGTCTGGCCTCAGCCGGGCTGCAAGCCGAGGATCGTGGTGCCCTTCTGCTCCACGGGAGGGAATCCTTGACTCTAACGTACCGCGGGAGCCACCTGCAGAGTCACGCCCTGTGCTGTGACCCCGGTAACTGGCCACGGTGACCAAAGCCAGCCCTCCCCTCGCAGACAGCTCCCTCAGCTGCACCGTGAGTTGTGTCTGAGTCATGCTCCTTCTCGACACTGAGAAATGTGAGTGTGTGATGGGCCCACGCATCACAGCAGCATGGTCGCTGGGCACTGCACACGTATAAGCACCCCGGGTCCCGTGAATATCTACAATGATTATTTTTAAGGATTATTTTTTATTTAGTTAATTTATTGTTATTATTATTTTTTAAATTCAGTATAGGGCACATGTACTCACCAGGGAGAGACAGAGAGAAAGAGAGGGAAAGTGAGAAAGCAAGCCACCAGGTCTGGGACTTGAACCATGGCCAGCCATATGGGAGTCCAGTGCTTTAACCACCACGCCACCTGCTGGTTCTAATATGTGCAATCATTATGTATCAAGTTAAAAATAAAAATTACAACTAAATAAGCAAAACTTTCAGCTGTATTTTTGGGAAATATGGCCCCATGAAGGTAGGGAGAGCTGAGGAGTTTCTGTGACTGGCTCTGTCCTGCCTCTCAGGGCTCAGAGCCCAGCAGGAGGCCAGGGACTCCGTGAGAGATCAGTGCGGAGAGCTCACTTCTTCAAGTCTGCTGTCAACAGAACGCCCCCCTCTCTTCTGCACGTTTACTTACTGAGGCAGAGTTCTGTGGCGCCAGGCTCATTCTGTGTGAAGTGGGGTCAGGGAGGGTCTGCTCACTCTGCCTGCCTGTGTCTGCTCACGAGCTGTCTAGGGCACGTGAGCCCTGGGGACACAGCCTCGCTCTCTGTCCCCAAGCAGACGGCGGTCAAGCGGGCAGTGAGCGTTCCCCGGAGCTCTTCGTGCGCGCAGAGCCAGGCCTCTGAGAGCAGCCCGCCAGGAAGCCTCCGTCGCTGACACACCCCCAGGCTCCGCGACTCCACTAGGCTGTCTCTGAGTGCGGGCAGGGAAGCGGAGTGGCGGCCCTGTGATGAGGCTGTGGTTGGCAGGAGCTGGGACCCTGTTCACTGCACATTTGGGTCCCTGTCTGTGCTGGTATTCTTGCCAGGGGTGGCGTTCCTCACACGAGTCAGGGTAACAAGGCCCCGGCTGTCCGCAGAGCTGCAGTATCTGGCACCCCATACCACGGTGACTCACCTCCTGGGAACTCCAGGGCACAGTGTCACCTGCGTTTGAACTTGGGAGACGCGGTTCCCTCCTGGGCGTTAAGAAGTCACAGTGCCCGGCCACTTCTGTATGTGCTACGTGTGAACATCAGAGGCCTCTCCCGGGGCAGGCCAGTCTCTGGGGGTGTCCCCGAGACCAACAGGGTAGATGTGCCCTAAAATCTCCCGAGGCTAGATACCTTTAATCCAAGTGAAAATTTGGAGGGAAAATGTTTTGAAAACTGTAAAAAGTTAAAGAATTATTCATTTTTATCCCCCCACCCCACCCCACCCCACCATGACTGCGTAAATTCCTCAAAAGCAAGGACGGGCAGAGTCCACTTCCCCGTCTTTTGGATGGTTCCGCTGTAGGCGTGGGCTAGAAACGCGAGGTGAGGCGAGCAGC